AGTTTAATATGAGAATTCAGCGTTTGAAACTATCAAAAACCTTAATTACAAGTCCACAAATTTTGCACTGTAAAGACCTCAAAACTTCGTTAGGTGTTTTTTCATATTTTAAGGTGGTAAATAAAGTGAAATTTTTCCGACAATCACATCCTATCATCAAATTCTTCATGATCAGGAACAGGAAGAAATTTTCAAGTTGATGGTTGTGGACAAAATCGGGTGAGCGGTACAGGCACACCCTCCCCTAAGAAAAAAATCCCAGAAATACATTCCTTCGAGTTTAAAACTCATTCAATCGCAAGAACCGTCCCACTGATATCCTCAAGCAATCCACTCAAATTTCCTCCAAATAAAAAATTAATTCCCTGCCCCACCCGTACATTTCATAGCCCACAAAAACCCGTGAAAAACATGTTTTTTCACCACTCTACCGATAAATCTTCTACTGATCCACTAAAATTGTAGGCGTCACGTTATTAGGTGATTTTTCTTTCGTCCTAGGGATTTGACAAACACGCCAGTAACACGATCATTACCCGTACTGGATACATCCATACTCGATAGTAGAGTGCAGTGAAAAGGGATTCCAGAAGCGCGCGGGGGCTGGGGAGAGGAGGGAATATAGCCTTAACGCGGGGGCACATGGCGCTCTCTCGAGTTTATTGTCATCCCCTTTACGCGTTAAATTACTCCGGGGCACGATACACGCGTTAGGAAGAGGGCGGTGACGAGTGAGAGCACACGGCGAACACCAGAGTAATACCATAAGGGGGAAGGGGGGTGGCGAGAAGAGGAGGTAATAGGGGGGGATGAGAATGAACCGTACTGAAGTACAGAGGAGAGCCCCGCAATTCGACTCCAGATAGCCGGGGTGACAATGCTCCGAGGCAAACTTTCGGTCCGTTGACAAACTCGATACCTGAGCCCCCTCCCCCCCTTCCTTCCCCCACCCACTTCCCACACATTCTCAGTTTTTCTCTACTACCAAATTCCCAGAAGCCACAGGAGAGAATGCTATGGCAACATAGTAAAAGGGTTTTCAACTGGCGCTACATAGTAATGCTTACTATGTTCCATAGTAATGCTTATTATGATCTATAGTGATGCTTACTATGTTTCGTAGAAAATTAAATAGTAAAAATTACCATAGTCATAGTAAAAAATATTAGGGGAGGGTGTGCCTGTACCGCTCAGCGGGTAATACCGCTCACCCGATTTTCCCCACAACCATCAACTTGAAAATTTATTTCTGTTCCTGATCATGAAGATTTTGATGAGAGGATGTGATTGTCGGAAAAATTTCACTTTATTTACCACTTTAAATATGGAAAAAAACGTAACGAAGTTTTGACGTCTTTACAGTGAAAAATTTGTGGACTTTTAATGAAGGTTTTTGATAGTTTCAAACGCTGAATTCTCATATTAAACTGTGGTTATTCGATTCGTGGTACTTTTGTNTCCCAGAAGCCACAGGAGAGAATGCTATGGCAACATAGTAAAAGGGTTTTCAACTGGCGCTACATAGTAATGCTTACTATGTTCCATAGTAATGCTTATTATGATCTATAGTGATGCTTACTATGTTTCGTAGAAAATTAAATAGTAAAAATTACCATAGTCATAGTAAAAAATATTAGGGGAGGGTGTGCCTGTACCGCTCAGCGGGTAATACCGCTCACCCGATTTTCCCCACAACCATCAACTTGAAAATTTATTTCTGTTCCTGATCATGAAGATTTTGATGAGAGGATGTGATTGTCGGAAAAATTTCACTTTATTTACCACTTTAAATATGGAAAAAAACGTAACGAAGTTTTGACGTCTTTACAGTGAAAAATTTGTGGACTTTTAATGAAGGTTTTTGATAGTTTCAAACGCTGAATTCTCATATTAAACTGTGGTTATTCGATTCGTGGTACTTTTGTGCGTAATTTGAGACCAATTCGAACTCAAAGCTCCACTCATGTCAATAATTATCAACAATGTTGTTGACGCCGAGCGGAGCCGGTAATACCGCTCATAGGATCGGACACGTAGTTGCTCGACAGCACTCGAGTACAGGTTAGGTTGCGGCACGAGCGATACACGCAAAACCCTATGAGCGGCATTGGAATCGTGCCGAGCGGTATTACCCGACGGTGGGTAGTACCGCTCAATAGGCTCCCTCTTTTATTTTCAATCAATTTTGTGGATTCTAAGGAGAATTAGGCGTCTACACTTCGAGAATAACGAGTTCAATAGTTAAAGAAGTCTCACAAATACGTTTTTTATACTCAAGTTGAAATATAAAATATAAAACTGGCATTTCCCCTTAGGTGGCCGGTGCAGGCACACCCTCCCCTATGGCAACATAGTAAAAGGGTTTTCAACTCGCCCTACATAGTAATCGTGACTATGTTCTACAGTAATACTTATCATGTCATATGGTAATGCTTCGCATGTCACATGGTAGTGCTTACTATGGTCCATAGTAATGGTTACTATGTTACATAGGAATGCCTACCATGTCCATAGAAATGGTTACTATGTGAATGGAAACGAGTCCTATGAATATAAGAAGTATCTCCAAAATAATCGGTTGAAATTCGGAATTGCCTCTTGATGCGTTCATAAACTTAAAGCGCTTAAGGCTTAAACTCTTGAAAAAAATTGAACAAATTAAACTCTTTATTTGATATTTTCCTTTTAAATTCGACAATATTTTTTCGAAATTTACATATTTCTTTAAATAATACAGCTTCAATTATAAGGAATAAATAGCGTATTCATTAGAAGTAGATAATCAGTTAGAAATAAATAAACAATTTATGTGATTGAAACAGAGAATTAATTATTACACATTGATAAATTCTTTCTCTTCGCCGGCTAAATAATGATTCCATTTGTAACTAATAAAGTCTTTATACATGTAAGAAGAAAGTATTTGTTTATATTTATAAAACTATTCATTTGATATGAATAAAAATGCAACTGGAAATTTAATTTAGGTTTTAATGAGTTTTGTTAGGAGCTCTCTGTATAAATCCATTATTTCATTCAAAAACATGATTGTTTTTTTTGTTGAATCTTACAAAAAAAAATTATCGTTCTGGAATCAATGATATTTCTGTGTCTAATATTGTTCTACTCATATTTCATTCCTTGATGGTATTTAATTATTTTGAATAATTTCATCATGTGTTATAGGACACTTTACGTAGCATAGGGAGCTCTTCTATGTAACATCGTAAGCTTTACTATGTAACACAGTAATTATTGCTGTGTCCATAGGACCTATTACCATGGAGGAGCCCAGTATGCCCCATGCGCTATTAGACATTTTTTGAAATTTTATGGAAGATATTATAGTAAATCTCATGAGAGTGACATTGAATTGGATTTTGGGGAAAAAATGGTTATGAAATTACAAGTATTCAGTACAATTCACGGAAATTCATAAGTTTTCAGTGGGAGTGAGCTGGAAATTTCACAACTTGATTGAATTTTCAGTGGCACATAAATATTCAGAAATAAAATGACATAAATTTTCAATTTTTCCCATAATTTTCCAGATTTTTCTGAATTTTCACAAAATAATTGAACTGAAAAATCAAGTATTTTATTGATTTCCAGATAATTTGAACAGAAAATCAATACAATATTTGATTTTTCAATGACAAGATTTCCTGAAATTTCAGTGGAACTTGAACACGATAAAAATTTCCAGAATTTGGCACAGAAAATAAGATGAAAATTTTTAACAGTGTAGTAACCATTGCGATTTTCCATGGTAGCACTTACCATGTCCATAGTAATACTTACAAAACTTTGGTAACGTTTACTATGCACGGATTCCGACATAGCAATCTATACTACTTTATGTTCTCCGTGCATCGATTACACATTTCCCTTTGTTCCATCCCATGAGTTGAAAAATCCGAACGAAAAACAAAAGTAAAGGAGGCAAATTAAATATCAGAGGATTGATAATTGCAGCCAAAGGGACTGGGATCATGCGTTTTTCACTTCACATCAGAAGGACTTTGAAGTAAAATGATTGAAGCGAGAAAACTGGGGAAAATGAGAAACGATGAGAGAGCAGAGCTACAGAGAAGTGAGGAGTGAGGGGATGAAGCAATCGTGCTCTTTTCGTTTCATCAATTTTAGTGAAATAACTAAATGGAGAGAAGAGGGGAAAGTGTTCTTGGATTAAGTATGAAGGGTGGGTGTGACAATATCCGCGGCTCGACAGCAATTTTCAGCGAGGCACATAAGGCCTCACTGAGTTGCAAACATCAGGAAAAAAAGGTGAAAAGTAGAAACGTGTGATTCTGATTCCACCGTCGACCGACAACTCCCAACGGCTTTTCGAGAGGTTACGCGACACCATTCGGGCAGAAAGAGGTACAGAGAATGTACAGATGGAGGTGAGGAGAGAATGAGAGAAATAGAAAAAGCCTGTGGGTGGGTGTGACGGAAAAGACGAGCATTGCCTACGTGAAAAAGACAATATCGACGGATGAAAGGGCCTGTGTCGTTCGCCGTTAGATCAAGAGAAGGAGTGAGACGGGTTGAGGGAGAAAAAGAGGAGGGAACGGGTACATAGGTGTGAACGGCAAAGAGCGATGGCGCGCGACACTGTGTGAGAAGTGAGAGCAATGATTGAAGTGCATGTACTTATGTTTGTCCTCTCGGTATTACTTACTCAACGGATTTTCAAATACCCTGGGATGGTCTTAGCGCTGTGTACAGAGATCTTCTGTTCTATTGTCGATGAGATGCTCCCTCGTGGTTTATGTGGTAAAGAGAAGTGCAGTGATGGTAATGTCTGATGTACTTCCAGATGAAGAGCAAAAATATGTTGGAGGTGCCTCGGTGAAAGGATGAGATGATTCATCCTTTTGGTTTTCTCGCTTTCGGAATTTACGCACATCAATTCGCGAGAGATTGAGGGGGTAGGATACAGAGGAATGAATGAATTCACTGAATTCGCATATATTGACACGTAGCATCGTCTTTTATTCGTCAATATCAATAATATTAGGACAATCGGGCAAGTACGAATCGTTTTTTTTTATTTGCTCCTGTCTCCTGATAAGCGGTGCATTGAATATCGCGCGATTAATCCACCGTTTCCTTAAATCATCATATTTATATTATAATTACAATATTAATCTTTATTAACACAATTAGCGACATAATGGAATTGGTTTTGTTTATCATCACCACAATCATCATCGATGGATTCATGGAGCAGCGAGAAATCTCGAGTATCGTGCGTCAAGCTCACGCTGACTCAATGCGCCAGGACGATAGAGTGATGGAAAGGGTTATTGGGATGACTGAGCTGATTGGGCTGAATTGGGTGGTGGTGGTGGAGGTGGTGGTGGTTGTGGATGTACCTGATGTGGTAGTAAGGAGTGAGCTTGCACGTGGGGTGGATGATGATGGTGATGATGATGGGAGTGATGAGGTGAGTAGAATATCGGTGGTGCTGTTGTGCAGGGAGCGCATGAGGTACCAACACCAACAGCTACACCAACCGAGTGTGAGCCAGCATTGGGCACCGGTAATTGGTTACTTTGCGTTGTCGATTGTATCGATATACCACCACCAGTATTGCTAGAATTTGTTGAATTTGGCTCGTGATAGATAATGGGCACGCGTACCAGCCGCTGTGCCGCATGCGCCATATTGGCTGCTTCCAATTCGGCTGCCAATTGACGTTTCCACTTGTTCCTTCGATTTTGAAACCATATCTTCACTTGGGTCTCAGTCAGTCTCAGTTGTCCAGCTAATGAGGCGCGTTCTGATGATGACAAGTAACGCTTACACTCAAACGTGTGCTCAAGCTGATAGACCTGAGATCTCGAGAACACCGTTCGCGTCTTTTTTTTCCTCTTGACATTGTTGTTGTCGTTGACATTGACTTGAACACTCTGACTGCCACTACCACTTCCACCGGTTGACGAGTGGCCACCACCCGGTGACTCTCCATCACCATCACCATCGGGCCCGTCGTCCACATCACCGAGATCATCGTGACCCTCGTCACCACTTGATGGACTCCTTCCACCACTGTGAAGACGATCGTCAGCGGGATTGTCGTCGTCCAATTCCTCTGTCAACAGAAGATTTACTCAAATCAGAACGATTTTGCTACTAGGTCAGAAGCCATAGGATTGTGTTTTGATACAAGTCTTCAATGCGAAAGTGCGCAATCAAAGTCGGTATTGACAGAGGATGAAAATCAGGGAAAATTGTGTGGTATCGTAAGGCCGAGTATTAACAGTAAAGGTGGTAGTGGGCAAAGCGATCGGGTAAGGCGATCGACGTTGGTTTGTCGTTGACAGAAGCCCCCAATGAAGCCATACCATCGGCTATTCCACGCTTGTATCTGTGAATGCCCCTCACCCTCGCACATAAGCTTGTCCCTCATCATTCGTCGCGCTTACACACACCAATTTATGCTTCACAGTGGCCCTTTTTGCAACACTGTCCCTCCTAAATTCTACCCCATTCTAACCATTTTGGGTTGTATCACGCACGTTAACCGCGGACACATGAAAAAAGAAGAACCCAAGGGACAGTGAGCTGGTGGAGAGCTACCCCTAAAAATTTTAATCACACCCATGTACTGGCCACACTGGTGGTTTGTTAGGAAACCAACCTCTTTCCCTCCTGTATCTATAACCCATAGAAAACCGAGAATACCCAGTGTCTGACTCGAGAACTCCTATGAACTTGGTTGAATATCCCTTTACTCCTTTCTCACTCCACCAAAAACACGAGATTTATATTTCAACAGACTCTCGGTTTTTCGAGTCCGAGAGCCATACGAATTATACCAGACGTTTTATAAAGAGACAGACTTTTGGGCTTTCAACGCAACGTTTGATGGTATTAATTTGATTTTTATCTCTGAACGAGCTTCGTGGGAGGAGCGCCATGACTCAAATCCACTGGAGAGACACCAGATGTTACTCGGGGTTTGATATTATTGCCTCCGACAATTACGATTCTGGAGATAGTGATTCAATGGCCTCGAAAACACTGATATCGTGATAATTGAAATGACACAAGTCAGTTCTACTCATCCCGTCAATACCTTAATTACACCTAACCCTGTCCAGCTCACTGATGACAATCAGATGATGATAATCGCATTAGAGGACATGAGGTTAACCGCAATATTGACACACGTTCATTAGTTCAGTGGCTCATCACTCGGTACCTCAAATGAAACATTATTACGAGTCATGCTGGTTGATGGACTGGAAAGCGAATGCTGATTAGTCGTCTACCAACCTCGTTTGAGATAGGATCCAGTGGGTGGACTGACACGGCTGAGTGACCCTACATCACTCTGGGAATGATGCTCTAAGCTCTGTAAACCGTGCGTCCATGGAAACGGCCAGCCTCCATTGCCGAGGAGTCCGCGAATGCCGTCGGCCTTTGCTGCCTCCGACTGACATCCAACCGTCGGCAGTCGCGCATGATGCGTCTGCTGTTGAAGATGATATTGTAACTGCGCCGATGATGAGAAGAAACTACCAGGTATTGGATACAACTGCGCTAATCTGAAAAAATGAGAGAATAGTTTATGAGAGATTTCAGGGAAACATGATTCATCGAATAACCGTCAATGAACAGAGTCATGACCTGTAATCTCTGCGTTAAGGTTTTGACGATTACACTCATCATCGAGAAATTATCAGATTCATCGAGAAAAAAAACAACGAAAACTTACGTAGAGAAGAAAATTTTCTTTTTTAGATATAGATTAGATCCATGGCCAATTATCGATAATATTGGACACTGACTAGAATAATCCCGATTATTGGTGATTTTTATCACAGAAATGTGGTGATAGATTTCCAAGAATTGGTTGGCTGAAGACTCTCGAACGTGCCATAAATTTCGTTAAAAATAAAATAATAAAACATGTGAAAAAACATAATTTTTCACGTTTTTTGGCATGTTTTTTGCGAATTACTAAAGAACCGCTTAGGCGATTGTTTTTATAAACTAATCAGTTCTAAGTTACACGGAGAGAAATTTTTAAAAAAAATTCTAGTGTTAGCACGGGAAGAGAGGCGCAAAGTGACCGCCAGGAAAAAATTCCAGTGCCGGCAATAGAAATTTTATTGGGGAAAACGTGAATTTGTTCTCGTATTTCTGTGAAAATTTCACAGAAATCCCCAGAAATTTTACCAGAAATACCAAGAAATTTTATCTTAACAGCCCTTGAATTTTTCACAGCCGGTGGATTGTAATTTTTTCCAGTACTCGTATTAGAATTTTCCTAGAAAATTTCTCTCCGTGTACGTGAAGATGCATCGATTGAAAGGAAGATTAATCGAATCGCTCCATTTGTCAAGGAAATGTCGTTGAACACAATTTTAACTACATACATATATACACACACATACAAACATGTCTTCAAAAATATATCAGGATGATTCTAGGGGTCATGAAACGTCGATAAATCATGGAAAGTCCACTTATGATTTTCGGGGTAATTACAATAGCTTCAAAGGGTCCGGCAGTTAATCAATTAGAGATGGCTCCCTGAAAATACATGACACTACTTTGAAAATTAGTGATAGCACCCCTAAAAATTAGTGATGATGTTACTGAAAACTTCACTCCCGGAATTTGATGAATGTAAACCCGTAATAAATGATCCTTAATAAATGAATTATTGAAATTTGCTAAAAAATACCGCGAATGTACCCATTTTTTATATTTGTACACTAAAATTTCCAAATTTTGCTATTTTTCAGCTAAAGTACATTATAAAGCGAAAAATGTATCATTTGCTTCAGATTCATTTCTTTGATTTCGGATAAAAACCTTTGAAACAAAATGTTTTTATTATTTACGCCAGGCCGTAGGTTAGCAAGAGCCCTGCTGCCAATAAAAATGCAATTTCATGAGAAAAAACTATTGAAATTAAATATTCATAAAAAATTACCGCAAAATGACTGAAATCAAAATGACGGTCAATTTCTAACTAGATAGACACGACTCACAATCAGCAATAACACTCATTTCTCATGGAGCATTAATTGGTCCTCAGAAAGTCGTTCGAAAGTCGTCAGTGTCATATATGGGACATTCCATGTCAACTCGGCCACTCCGGGTTTTTTTTTGTCTGGAAAAAATCATTTGATAGCTGCATTTTGAACTACTATATATAGATAGTATTCGTGCCAAATTTCATTGCCCTATCATTTTTTGTTCCTGAGATAATGATGACAAAACTTGGAATTTTCAAAAACACATAATTTTTAAACGGCGCATCCGATTCGGACGAATAAAAAAGAAATTTTTTTTTGTACTTTGAGAGAAAAAATACTCTCGTGCAGTGGATTAGCTTCTACACTGATTTTTCAAGGAATTTGTACGTTTTTATTTTTTTTTATCTCCAGGGCCTTCGGATATTCGATCGGAATAATTTTTTTCTGATAGAAGACGTCCATATATACGATAGTCAACAGTGGATCAGGCAATGAATTCCCGTGTTAGAGAAATTAAGCTCAAATTCCAGTCAGATTGTATCACCCAGACTTGAAACAAAAGAAGGATAAAAAAATGAATCTATCGATCGATTTCACGTTATCAGACTGTAAGCTATTAGTTGTGAGAGATGTCTCAAATGCTTCATCAACGTTTCATTACCGTACTTATTGTTGACGATGTTAATTAAATGCATCATTTATCAGTAAAGTTTGATCATTAAACTAAATTAATAAGCCATCATTGCGTGTACTCATCCCTGTTTTCTCATCTTCATTTCTGAATTGAGGTAAGAAATTTTTGACATTCATGATAGAGATATTCTCAGGCGATTTGTGGAATCAATTTGTTTGTATTCAGTAGGATGCCCCGTAGTGATAGATGTGCAAATCTGATGCAAGGCCCAGGTGAAAAAGGCCACTATGGAACCAATTTACGTCCGATTTCACGGGCAATACACTTGAAGTTCCCCTTCCTACCATCGACTGTAAACATTTGTGGCAAATGCCGAATAAAAGTGCCAACGTATGTCGTACCATCGTTTCCTCCCACTTGCATTCTGAAGAATCAAAATCTTCAAGAAGATATATTTTCCTCAGAGGTATCAAAGACTGAAGCAGAATTTGATGATTCCACCTCACATATCATTGACTGTTCAGTGAGATCAGGCCGATCTTTTCATCTTGATGATACAAGCGTTTCAAGTCATGATGGATCACATGATTCAGGCGGATTCTTCGATTTAAGTATGGATGAGGATTCAAATAGTGACCACAGTGACGATGATCCACCACCAACGAAACGGTATCGTTCTCCCAGAGAACTGGAATTAGAGGAAATGTTGAATGATTTGAAGGAAAAGTTCAACGATTTGGACTCGTACGGTGAGCGCCTGCAAATTCTAACCATTCTTCCTCGATCATGGAGTGCCCGAAAAATAGCGCTCGAATTTGGTGTTTCGAGATACATGGCGGAGAAGGCAAAAAAGTTGAGAGAATTGAAGGGAGTATTTACTTTACCAACTGCAAGGACTGGTTATCCATTACCAGCCGAAACTGTTCAAAAGGTGCGAAGTTTTTATCTAGAAAATAGTCGGGTTATGCCCGGGATGAAAGATAAGATATCGATTAAAATTAATGGAGAAAAAAGGGTAGAATAGAAGTAAATGGTACTCGAAAATTTGAAAGATCTCCATCGAGAGTACAAAGCCACTCACCCAGAGGCTGCAGTTGGTTTCAGTAAGTTTGCAGAATTAAGACCTGAGCAATGTATATTGGCGGGAGCGAGTGGCACACACGTGGTATGTGTTTGCACCTACCACCAAAATTGTAAACTGATGTTAGATGCTATCAATCTCCGGGTTCTAACGAAGGATTCACCATGTCCAATGACAGATTACAAAGATTGTCTCAGCAGAACATGTGTCAAAATCCCACGCCGGCCTGTCATTTGGATGAATGTAAGAATTGCCCTGGACTTGAGCAATTGTCATGTGAGCTAAAACGACTTCTCTCCAAAGCTGTGATTGAAAGTATCAAGTTCCGAGTGCGGCAAAGTACTGACAGGTGCACCTTGCAAACACAGATACTTCCGGTGAACGAATTCGTTGATGTACTTGCTGAACGGATGAAAGTACTAAAGCCCCACCACTTCATCGCTCTATAGAGCAATCAATTTTTGTGAAGCAACGAAGAGAAAATTTGGATAAAGGAGAAGTGCTTGTCCTCTGTGATTTTGCTGAGAATTATTGTTTTGTTGCTCAAGATGCTGGTCAATCTTTTCATTACAATAATGATCAGTGTACAGTCCACCCGGTGGTGTATTACTACCGTGACGATGATGATATCCAATATCAGAGTTTAGTCATCTTATCAGACAGTCTAGTCCATGATACTGCTGCTGTTTATTTGGTACGGAAAATTCTGATCGAGCATGTAAAGCAAAAATTGTGGTGATGTTCGAAAAATGATTTATGTAATAGACAGCGCTGCTCAGCATTACAAAAATCGTTACCAAATGGCTAATCTTTTGAATCATAAGGCTGATTTCGGCATCAACGCAGAGGCTCATTTTCACGCAACCGCACACGGCAAAGGGACATGCGATGGAGTCGGAGCAGTTTTGAAAAGAGAAGCTAAACACGAAAGCCTGCAAACAGTTGATGGTGAACCAATGCTCACACCAAATGCTCTGTTCCAATGGGCTAAGAATCATTTCACTACAATTGACGTTTTTTTCTTCACCAAAGACGGGCACGACAAAATTAAAGCAGAATTGAAACATAGATTCGATAAAGCTAAAGGAATTCCTGCCATTCAGAAGAATCATTGTTTCATTCCACGACTAGGGGGTCAATTGGTGATAAAACGCTATTCTGCCTCAGCCACTGAGGAGGTTTTTCCGAAGAAAACTCAGAGGAAACAACGTTGAGGATTCCTGTCTTATGTTATAGATGTATTGTCACCAAAAGAGTCATTTTCAATCAATTTTTCCAATTTTTTTCTACTTGATAGTGCTGAAAAGATCATTTCTGATATTGCCCATTGCATGACCTTCGAACAATTAAAAAAAGTTATTCTAGAGTGATTGTGATTGTTGAATATCATTAAAAATGTTGAAAAAACGCAAAAATTTCAGAGAAAAATTTTTTCTCTGGCGCACCGTTTCTCTCTTCTATGGTAGTGTATGTCTTTTCTATGATATATCAACCAAAAGTATTGATTGAAACATCAATTTCTTGGTAAAAAGTACGCAGCACCCCTAGAAGGCGAAAAAACACAAAAATTTCAGAAAAAAAAATTTTTCCGGCACAATTGTCATCTCTTCTATGATGGCGTATTTTTTTTACATCATATATGGACGTCCTCTATCAGAAAAAAATTATTCCGATCAAATGTCGGAAGGCCGTAGAGACGAAAAAAAATAAAAACGTAAAAATTCTTTGAAAAATCAGTGAAGAAGCTAATTCACGGCTCTGGAGTATTTTTTTCTCAAAGCACAAACAAAAACAAAATTTTTCTTTTTTTATTCGTTCAAATCGGATGCGTTGTGCAAAAAC